ACGCTAACCTTGGCCAACACAGACCTCCCGACACAATGCTTAATCTGGGTCTGATTATAATCGAATGGAGAAGAAGCCGATAGCAGCAATGGTACTTTAAAGTTGAACGTGAGGTTAGCTTTTGTTGCCATGAATTTACTGGTTTGTTTTGTTTTCCTCTCAACATAAATCAGCAATTCAAAAGCAGTGAAATCTGTAGGTGGCTTTCACGGGTGAATAAGCGTCTCAGAAAACCTCTGGGAACCGGTCATTGAAGCCTTCACATTTTCATTTGTGTTATGAGGCCCTGACACGCAAGCGTGAATACCCCTGTGTCTATTGACACAAGAATAAAAAGCAAACTCTTTTTGTTCGCGAATGAATGTGAAGTTCACCAATATACAATGTGTGCGTGCGTCATAAGCTGTCAAAACCCAGCGCATGGCAAGTGACGCTGAAAGTATTTGACTTCTTTCTGCCGACCTTTAAGAAATGTAGCCTTATTTGTCAAACATCGCATGCGGTCATGTGAATCTCTTACCACCGATCAATATATTTAAAAAAATGTTTTAGCGAAGCTGTGGGGTGTTACCTTTTTTGTGCAAGGCAACTATAACCCTCTTGGGGGGTGGAGGGTGGCACAAGTGGTTAGCCGCACTATGAACACGTGTGTCTGGAATTTTGATTCCCAGCCATGGCTAACGTTAGAGGCGAGTGATATTTAAATCAGTTCTGGGCCCCATCCTCCCTTCACCAGCCTTCAATGATCATCACGGTGAAGTATGCTAAAATAAAAAACTATGACCAGCACGTTATAGAGAGGCCTTCATCCAGCAGTCGACTGACAAAGGGTTGTACATTATTATTAATGGGGGGTATTTTCACATTATTTGCGAAGCAATGATAAACGCATCTGAAAATTCGTAAGCCTTTATTGATGGCAAAACAACCGGCTTTATTGATGGCAAAACAACCGGCTTTGATCTTCGAAACATTGAAAGCCAAAAAGGTGACCTTGTTCATCTTGATGACTTTGATGTGCCTTTGAGTCCCATTAGGTTTGAATACTTGTGTTTTTTATGTACCTTGTGAGTTAGACACTCGCCGACTATGGCTTAAAACAAGAACATGAAAAGGGAATCTTATACTGTCTAATAAAAAAAACACAGAAGAATGCGTAACACATTCAGTCAAATGGGTCTGATTAAACTGTTGGAAAACAAGGTATATAATTTCAACGCCCAGGCAATTTAAGTATACGCAAAGTTGGACCCAAAAGGCTCTTTGCACATTGCCACATTTATTGACGTCAGCATTTAAATAACTAGCGCTTTAACAAAACAAAAACCAAGGTAACAACAGAAAGAGACCATCTGCAACTGCACAAGAGCAATACACTACCCCCCAGAGCACAAATCCTCCCCATCACAGGATCTTTGCTCACGGATAAAGATAACAGAATGATGCACTGAAGTTAACAGCATTCGACTAAATGCTACATAGGTCAGTCATGGAATTTTTTTTAAATAAATTGTCACAGTGAGGTTTTTTTTTACTGAAATCTCGAAGATATATTTTATCTATTTGAATATGCCCTGCGATACGCTTGTGCGCAGTTTTCCAACTGCGTACAGTTCAACTCAAAGCATAAGCGGAATGTTAATATGAAAGTAGACAAAGAGAGCGTGGTTTACAACACCATCTCATTGTTTCAGATTCAAAAAAATGTGGCGGTTACAAATTAATAACGATGGAAACTGGTCTAAAATAAAACTCATCATGTGTGCCATTTCGATTTTTTTCCCCGTATATTAAATTTGTGTGGGGGGGGGGGGGGGACATTGCACCGTTAAGTAAGAAGAATGAGGCTAATAGATTAACTTGCCGATGTTTTTTTTCCATTAGAAAGATAATGGGGAGGCAAGTTGAAGTTGAGCACCTTGTGCGTTACGCCTCGGCCACATGGGTGGGAACTTTAGCCCCGAAGTTCAAAGTCAATAATCAAATGAATAAACGCCATCTCGTCTTTCTACCCAAAAGGTGGTGTCGGAGGCAAGCCAGCGACGTTTTAATTGAAATAATTCTCATCACCCACCACCCCGCCTCCACTTTCCCTCGGTCAGAGCGGATATTTAACAAATACAATAACGACGCCGTGAGGAATACAATATGCTCAACGTAAATGCGGCACAGGTAGAATAAACACATTGCGACAGTTTCACTGCGTTTATTAAAACCTCATCCACTTTAGCAAGGACAAACGTGCGAGTGAATGCTCGGATGATTCGTTTGTAAAAAAAACAATTCAACAAATTGCTCAGGGCCTTTTGGTTTTATATCGTTTTATTTGTTTGTATTAACGTCATTAATAGTAACATTTAAACTCAGTTTTTTTTGGAAATACTTTCATAAACAATATTGCTGAACGGTCTTGATTATTGCAAGCAAAGTGCACCAATGTGCATGCACAAATTGCTTGTATTGCCTTTCTACATACTTTACAGTCATATTTCACCTCGACATAGATATTTCAATACATAAATTAATTTACCCTCGCGTTATTTGTACTTTTTTTTACAACACCTTAAGTATAGGATGCGTTTAACAAGAAGCAATGCTGCGGTGACCAAATAAAAGAGATTACATTTCCAACGGATCAGATGTTTGCAATGTGGAGGCTCTGTCTACATGACCATTTGCAAAATACGTGAAGCAAATGTAACCCTTCATATACCCCCAGACTTGGAGTGCCCTCATAGCCGCCGTAAAGTAGCGAGACCCTTCCTGCAATCAATGCGGAAACAAATATTTTAAATATGAATTCGTATAAGAAAATTATCATCATTACGAGTGCTACTACGGTACTTTATTGAGCATATAAAATGTTGAATTGTCCTCTATTGGTCAGAAGCAAGCCAAACATTTAGTTTGCTTATGATTAAATGTACGACGAGAGCAGTGCGGTTACTTTATAGGCCGTCGTATGTCAAATGCACCAGATTCCGGGTTTGAAAGACAAGGCAATGACACCGTTAACGGAGAGCCGCGTTGCCTTTGCGCGAGTGACACAGAGTCATGCCGCCATACGGCTCACAAATAATCTTTGAATATGCTGATACAGCAAAATAAGAGCCTTCAATGGCACCCAAAACGAACAAAAGCCTTCACCCGCGGGTTTCTTCTGAAAGTGGATTTCCTGGTTGGTAGTGCGGTAATTTCACCCTGCACGTGACACTGACGTCCGCTTAACAAAAATACCAAAGTCCAATCGTGTCGTTGACCAGGATGGTTGTGAATTGCTTCGTAATTTTATTCATAAAATAAATGTTATCAATTTAACTCGATGAAAAATAAATTTTACATCACCGGTTTTTTAAGTCATATGTAAGAATAGGTAAAGTGGTTTGCTCTTTGGAGAAATTGTGCTACTGATTACTGGCTCTTCAACTATGTGACACATTACTTGATGTAATTGCAGTTCGTGTACATTAAATAGAAATACAGTACTCAGAATAGGGACTAATCTCTCTCTTTCACAGATTCAATGTTTTGGCCAACGGAAGGCTCTCAAAGGCCACCAGCTAAAACATCGAATCTATTTCCTTGTCGTCAAGAGCAACATTCCTGGCTTAATCACCCTGCCGTGCAATTGGTAGGACAGAAATGGCGACCGTTACAATGCTCGATGTTATAAAACTAAACAATGTTACAATGTTTATTTTACCAGGTAAGGCCCACTGAGCTACATAGCTCTTTTTCAGAAGTGACCTGGCCGCAAACGATATCTCAACGAAGTGGCTGATCGATGTGGAAATGTATTGCAGCCAAATACTCTTAACGCATGTTTCTAAATGCAGAGGGAAAAATCCACGCGACCACGGGGAGACCACGCACACTCAAAATATACAGGCGTCAGGGTCGGGATCAAACCTACGACCTCCTGTATACCTGGCGAGGTAGTTAACATCTCGCCAAAGAGATATTGACACGTCCTATCGCGTACCAATACACCGCGTGCACATGCAACGCTGGCCACGGGAGGTACTGCGCCGTCCAGCGCTGCAAAAGCGTGCGCGTTCCACCAAAGGTGTACGCTACTGTTTGGACCTTGAGCAGAACTTTAGGCATGTGGGAAGGGAGAACTTGGCTGGATCGGTGAGAGCAAATACGTCCGCATTTACAAAGTTAAGCCCGGTGCACATTCGATCGACACCTGCTCGCGAAGGGCACTGGGCAACGTGATTCTTGGATCGTGAGCAAAAGCCGCTCGGCACGGTCGAAAGCCGGCTTCAAAGTGGTAACACATTGGTTGCACAAGGTTGATCCCTGCGCACGTTCGGCAAGAGTGGAGAAATGGTCTATTCATAAGCAATACGGCCGGCAATGACAAGCGTCTCGTGTTACCGCAGTGACGCGTTTTACCATCGGCTCTCATCGTGTTTCCCGTGGGGGTCCCATCGTTCTGGCTTGCTGAAGTGCAAAGCCCACGAACGGTCCCCCTCCCCCCCCCCCGTTCGTTCCGGTGATGCGTTGTTCAACTTACAGGCGAACCGGACTCACTCGCTGTTGGCGGCACGAGATGCCCCCAAATATGAACGGGGGGGGGGGTAAGGGGGGGCTTCTTCCGAGCCTCCGCGCGCAAGGCACGACGAACGAAGCGGCAGAAGACCGCTGCTGTGGCCATCTCACCCGCAAATTAGCAAAGGACAGCATTGGCATGGTTCCAGCAGGTGGAGTGGGGGGGGATCAACAAGACCCACTCTGCAGGTCGCTTGCGGCTGTCTGCAAGGGGCCAACGGGTGGCCGAGATGGAATTTTTCTCAATTTGTGACGTTAAGCGTGGACTGATCCGATGTGAAAACCGCGGTAAAATAACCCTCACGCTTTTGACGTAACAAGTAGGCATGTTTCGCCTATCCTGTGCTGCTGTCTTAACAAGTCAGGCTAAATAAAGTACCTATATTAAAATAGGCAGCTCTTCCCCCTGATTGTGCAAGTGACTTCTTCATCTCATACAAACAATACTATCACTTATATTACAGTTTTTGTAATATGTATAATTGTTGTTAGTCTGTACAGCAAAAGTACCAAAAATTTACAGTTAAAATTAACACACAAGCAACATAAAAAGGCATGAACCACTGGAGCGAAAAGTTATTATTATCAGACCGACGTGCCTGAAACGGAGGCAAAACAATAAATTTAATGTTAAATATAAATGTACACATTCAATGAAAGCAGTGCATTAAGCTTATTACTGTTATTATTATTGAAGAAACACACAAAATTTAACCACCCTCTGAATAAACATAAAACACCGCCTGATTTTACAGTTATACATTCGCATTTCTTTTCAAGTTGATAAACATTGTGGAATTTAGCACAAACCAAAGGACACAATAGGCAATTATATAATATCGATGTCATTCGCAAATATTTTAAAGTTGCTTTTTTTTCTCGAGCACGCTCTTCAATAACACCGTATTCCACTGACACCAATTATGAATATTGTAATATCATTATTATTATTAATAATTGCACAACACTTAACAGAGAAAAATTACCACTGTTGATCTAAATATCGCTGCGGTGGGGGGGGACATGAGTTGGTGCTTAAAGATGCATTTGAGTTTACCTGAATGCGCAAAACAACCCAGATGCGTTTAACGAAGTACCAAGCCAATGGCAAAAGAAAGCCACCAACATCCTGGAGAATGATCATTGAAAAGGGCTCACAATTTAAATGTCCCGTACAACATTGTCCCTTCCCGATGTTCCGCGCTTGGCTCAGTGATGCCAAATTGATTTAAAAAACTGTGCCAAGAAAAAAATTGTCGTGAGCTGGGGGGGGGGGGGGCACCATGGGAGCATCGTGCGTCTTTGCGCATTTAAGCAGCTGCAGCAGTCCCCCCCCCCCCGGAGGTAAGACAGCCCCACGGCAGGAAACAAAACATGGAGGGATTGCCTCAATCGAGCGACGGTCCGGCTTCCCCCGATGGGGTCATTCACTATTACAAACGAGCTCGGGTGAGCTCGTGGACCAATTTTTTTTAAAAACCGTAATGTGTAAAAAAAGAAAACCCCCCACCATATATTTCAATGTTGAGACACACTATTTTAACGTTACTGTGACTCGACATTTTACTCAAATTTTTGACAACCACATTTGCCTGTCGGCCCTATGCATGTGCTCACGGAGGGGCCAACTTTCCCTGGCAACGCGGGCTCGACGCGTCCCTGTGTTCCATCCGATTCGACGACTTCCCTCGACTGCCCCCAATTTAATCAACCAGGGTAACCTGCTGCATACGGTCGGGGGGGGGGGGGGGGGGGCTGGTTGCAGCACTGCTCCGCGACTCAAAGCGCGGCGCCGACAACTGCAGGGGAGAACGAACGTGAACGTCTCTTTTTGGGCGACCCCAAGTGAACACGTCGCCCCTCGGTTACTGGAAGCTCTGGGGGCTCACAGGGAGCTGCCCGGGGGCAGCTGCAGCTGGGTCTTCTCGTGGCTCCTTTCCTCTCCAGCCGGGTCACGGCGTTTAATTTTCCCATGCTCACGGGTCACCGCCACGACGCGGTGACGTAGCCACAGGGTGGTAGGGGAAGGTGCGAACAGCGCTAGAACCCAGGTGCCGGGCTGTGAAGAGGTAGGGATTGGACAGTGGGGTGCCCCCCCCGCTCCCCCCCCCGCATTTAATTACTTGCACCAGATTCCCACGGCAACCGACGATACGCCACTGTAACGATGCATCATCATGCCAAAGGCGTGGGTCTTCTGTGCAGCAAAACAACGATCCTATTGCATCGCCCCCACAGTTGAAAAGTCACGCGTTTCACAGTCATTTGATGATAGTCAGCAACCAATCAAACACTATTTTTTTTGTACGTAACACTGAAGCCCGTCTTAAATGCTAGATATTCAGATGTCACCACGCTGATGTATGTACGCATGTACTGCTTACATTAAAAGAAAATGATTGATGTGTTTTTTAAAACATTAAAGTTTAAGAATGACCACAAAAATAAGTTGTTCCATGGTGACGAAGAATGATAGCACATCAGCCGGATGCCACTTTTGACATATTAGTTCGTCGTAAGCAGCCAGCCAGCGGTTTCATTGTTCGAACGTTTGTCAAACGCACAGCTGTTGTTATATTTTTTTCTATAGTCTTCTTGACAAGAGAACTCACAAGCTATATATATAAAATAAAAAAAAAACGGGTGGGTAGGTGGGTGGAGGGGCGGGGAGAACACGCACATTTTGAGGATGTGCCCTAAAACGCTTGGTTCCCGTGTACCATTCACAGCCCTTCGTTTTGTACTGGACGCCCCGTACAGATCGCACCACTGCGATCCGTACTCAAACGCGCAACTCCAATGCCCCCCTGGACACTCGGAGGGCAGAGGGCGCCATCGGGCATCATTCATCCTCAAGCCAAATCGGCCGATCGCTTCCTTGACCACGTTCTTTGCGGCCATCGCCGTTTCACCTTAGCAGCTCCCCCACCCCCTCTCTACTTCTCCCCAGATGTGCCCGGAGCGAGGAGCAGCTACAACGAGAAATCATCTCGCGTTGCCACCCCCCCCCCCTCCCCACTTTGGGAACGAGCTCGCCCCACCCCCCCCCCCCCCACCCTCTTCTCCTGGCCCTATTAAATTCCTTCCTCAATTTAAGATATCCCTTTTGCCGCAGCTATTATTCACCAAGGTCCTCCGTGGTGGGTCATTCTTGTCAAACAGCTTAAGGCCGAAATGTTTCTTACGCACGTAAACAATTAAAATAAAAACAAATCTAAAGCTTGGAAGCATTCGCGTAACCTGTTAAAAGCTATAATTTTAGACCTGTGGTTGTGTGCTTGGCCCGCAAGAGGCAATGTCCTGTTTCATGTTCGTAATAATTTCATCCGTATTTGGTGCTTTTCAGTTTGAAGGAGCAGCAGCAGCAGCAGCAGCAGGATGTTGATGTTGCTTTTGTTGAGAATCCAGACGGCCGTCTACGTCCAAATGCCTGAATCTTTACGCCCACAGCCCTTCCCGTCGGGCTGCCCGCCCACGCGGCGACAATCCTTCGCACTGCCACCGGCGGCGTTGTTATTCCACCCTCGGTCGATCCGCCGGGCCCAGTGTTCAGGCAGCCAGACTGGTGCACACATGCTGGACCGTTCGCCGACCCGGCTTGCATCTCGTCCGTCTCTCTGCCGGCGCGCGTCGCCCACGGAACTTCACGGGAATTCGCAAATTACCTTATTTGGTGGAAACAAACTGACGGGAAAGCGTCCGGGTTGGGGAAGAGGCTCTCCCCGTCTGAAACGCTTCCCCTCATCGAACGCAGACATTCCCAAACAAAATGCTGTCGGGCGTAGCGACAAACTGTCACCGGCGCGCGCAGTATCGCTGCAACGCGGCACCGCCACGAGGCGCGCCAACAAAGAGTCTCTCCCGGGCTTTCGTTCCACCTCCGCTTCCCTCGCGGTGAGGGCGGGGGGGGGTGGGGTGGGTGGCAGTCACCAGCAGCCAGCGAGCACCGTCGACTGATTCTCCGTCGCCTCCATCATCTCGCAGCCCAGCAGCTCGAGCTCCTCTCCGGCGGCACCGGCGTCACGGTACGTCACCCGCCCCGGCCTCTCTCCGCCGTCCAGGAGGAGGCCCCGCTCACCGCCGCCAGCGCCGCCCGCCGGCACCGCGAAGGGCTGCCCTCCCTGCAGGAAGTCGCGCGCGAAGCGGCACTGCTCGAGGTACGTGGCGCCGTCGGCGCGGGGGCCCTCGCCTGCGCCGGGCTCGTACGGCGCCGGCGCTTGCGGCCGCAGATCCTGCCCGTCGGCGCCCACCTGCAGCAGGTGCAGCTGGTACTGCTGCTGCCTATGCAGCTGCGCCTGCAGGAGCTCGTCGCAGCTGGAAGGGCGGCTAAACGTCACGTGAGCCTCCGCCCCTGATGTGAAAGCCTGCGGCCCGCGCTGCAGCTGATGCGCGTACAGCTGCTGCTGCTGCTGTTGCTGCTGCTGCTGTTGCTGCTGTTGCTGTAGCTGCAACTGGGAAGCCTGGCTGCTCTGCTGCAGGTGATGCGAGTAGTGCTGCGGGTGTCCGTACACCTGCTCAGGTTGCTGAAGCGACTGCTGTTGCTGCTGCTGCTGCTGTTGCTGCAAGTGGAAGTGCTGCGGGAGCATTGCATGCGCGTCACTGCCCTGCTGAGCTGTCGCGTACTGGCCTCCTTGGTTCTCCTGCAGCTGCATTTGGTGCAGGTGGCTGTGCAGGCTGTGTGTCGGAATGTCCTGGTGAGGCAGCAGGTGCGAGGGCTGCTGTTGCTGCTGCTGTTGCTGCTGCTGTTGCTGCTGCTGCTGCTGCGACTGCTGCTGCTGCTGCTGCTGTTGGGTCAGGATTTGGCACTGCTGCTGGTTGCGCAGTCCGCTCGAAGGCTGAGGGTAGGGCCCATCGCTCAGGTGCAGCTGCTTGAAGTGCGTCTGCACGGACAGCCGCTGCAGCTGCATGCGCTTCTGGTAGAGTCTGTGATGGGGAAAGACGGCACCACGTGATGAATGTATGCACAGAGCCAACCGCTGCTACTAGCATGCGTAAACCACGGCAGGCTATTTGGCACAATTACGTGACCATGCAGAAAACCTCCAATCATGACAATTTAACGCAATCATTCCTTTTAAGAAGTCACCCGCTTCCCTAATCATTGCTCTCCTGGGAGAGTGCAAGACTGACAAACTTGGACATCACGTTCATCTTATTTTTATTTTGAGTTCTGTTTGGTTACATTGTTCCTCCCCACTCCCCTCCCCCCCCCCCCTTTAAATACACTGCTCCCGATCGTTACCTCTACCACAGTAGGGTATATTATGCCCTGACCTGTTATAAGCCACACGCTGTTTCTACCCCTCCTTTTGACATTCCCCACTTGTTGTTCTGGGCTCTTGAATGACAATAAAAAATGCTTACAAAAAAACAAACAAGGTGTCTGCTTCCCAGCCACGATTTCTGAACCGTTCTAGGGCCTCCTCCTCCTCCTGCCTGGCATCAACTCACACTGGCGAAGTACGGTTAACCAATCCTCACGATCGACACTGCATGGGGAGACATTCATGCCCGAGACAAATGGCTGTAAATTATTGTTGTTGCTGTTATTATTATGGGTGGATAGAGACGGAGTGATTTAAGAAACCTCTAGATTGCAAATCCAGTGGGCTCATAATTACCCCATGGCAGCATCAAAGTGGATGGCATGCTCTGATTGCTCTCCAGAGGTACTCCTGGCTGGCGAAGGGATAGACTTCAACCACTCAGTGCAAGTGAACTGACAGCAAGAAGCTAACCAGCGTCGTATATTACCTTCGAAATTTGCGTGCTATCGGAACACGTTTTGATTTCATTGGTGTCGCAATCTCAATGCAAATTGAAATTCTCATTCTGTGCGAATAAAAACAACGATTCAAAACATGCATGTCACACGAGAAGCTGGATAAACTGCATTGTTTGTGGCAAAAAAAAGTAAGCACGGAGACATTTAAAATAGAATTGACCTGTGCTCTTGCAGCTGCTGTTGCAAGCCCTTGGTGTGCAAGTCCTTTCCATATACGACGTATCCATTCCGGGTTTTGCACCCCATTCCCTGGGTCTGGAGATGGTTACACACATGCGCAGAGTGAACAGTGGTCAGGACCCAGGCCATTAACAAGACGCGATTCCTCGTCACGTAGAACAGGGGTCGCAAGTAAAGCGGTGGCAGCATTTGCCAGCGTTTACCCGTCGATCCCGCACATCCTTTCCCGGCCAGTGGCGGGCACAAAGCGAGACAGGGCCAGAGCACGACCCAGGGAAACCAGAGTCTCGCTTGTGATCAGCCAACCAAGCCTCGCTTTTCCTAAAGGTTTCGGGGCTCGGTCTAACCGAGCGGCAGCTGTGAACTCCGAAATCCCCGCCGACTGACGATGGCCCGGTGCTGGGAGAATCAGATTCACGTTGGCCCAGAGGCGCGGTCGTCCCTGTTCCCCTGTTTCCGTTTTTGCGATTTTGTCTGACGATTGTTACCAATTGTGTCCCCTTGTTGGCCACCGATAGGGCCCAAGACAAAATAGGGTTAATTTAGCGTTTACGCTGTTACATTGACAACATAGTAAAGTTCATCGTCGTGCTGTATTATGCTCGAGTGTCTATGTTTGACCAGCGTGGTGAAAGTACGGTCACTTAACCCCCATGACAACACAAGTCATTGGGAGGTCTTCATCCAGCAGGGGATCAACAATAGGGCTGTACCATGCACGTGGTGTTTAGAGAGAGAGAGAGGGGACCACTCTGAGTTTGTTGTAATCCTCCACGTTTGTAAAGTAGGAATGACATTCAAGTGAAATCCACAAAGCGGCATTGAATCAATTGTGTACAGTTCACGGGATGGTATGGCTCAACAGCTGTGGCACAAACTCATAATAACCACAATCGCGTGACTGGCCGGCATGCGTTCTGCAGGAAACATAACCAGTACCACACATGTAAATTCAGGGGTGAGTATTGGATACAAAAAACATTTGCATTCAGGGATTTTCAGATTCATGAGGACGATTTCGAATCCGTTTTGGGGGGAATTTCAGTCTCGGATGGTTCACGTGACGTAGCAATTTTAGGCATCTTTGTGCTAACAAATGTGATTTCACGCGATGCTACTTTCTGGGAGAAAAACGCGAAGTTGACTTTAAATGCGGCGGATAATCCTATATTTCCATATGTAGGCCTGATTTTTGGATTTTATTAGATTAATCTTAAAACTGTGAACAGATCCCTAACATATACACGCACACACATATATAGCGATTGCATTTCAGAAATACAAACAAGATGAGGTCCTGATTTAAAGCTTTCGTGACTGCAGGGATTCATATTCTTGGTTCTTTTGGTAAAGTCACGTAGAAGGGAAACAATAAAAAAAATTATTGCTGTGGTTTTCACACCTGATGATGATTGCTTGTGTTGCAGTCGAAACGTCGTGAGAATTGTTTTATATTTTTATTATTTTATTGTTTCCCTTCTACGTGGTGACTTTACCGAAAGAACCAAGAATATAAGATGAGGTCCATCATATTAACATGAAGTATACAATTAACTTGGGTCATTCAGTGGCATCGCATTCAACAGCATTCAGCCTGAGAAGCCCGGCCCCAAAATGTGAAGTGGGGGAGTTTCTTCCACGCGGTGTTCACATTCACCGCTGAATCATAAACACTCGGCAATTTGTAATCATCAGCAAATTAATCATTTTTAAATTCTAGGTGTGTCAATCAGGTCGGTGTTATTCCCAGATATGACTGCGGCTGACCATTGATTAGTAACTGTGGCTCAACACTGATAGATTGATATTGCTGTGGGTACAATGTTCATACTAATTTTAGCTTATCTCATTGAAGCAAGGAAACGGCCTTATTGTAAACCTCAGAATGAGGAGATCCAATGATTGAAACGCTTACGAAATACTTAACGAATCAGACAAGCAATCCAACCAGGACCCTGCACGCTCACCACTGCGCCACCGCAGCTACTCCCCCCCCCAGTTCACATCGCCACATTTATATATTTATTCTGTGGTGCAACGAGAGAGAGGGAGCACGAGTCAGCCCATGGAAACACGATTTTGCTGCTGTAAAAGGCACAGGGCTTGAATCAGGAAGCGGCGGGGTGCGGAGGGAGGGGAGCGAGGGGGTTGGTTGGTAGGCTGACCTGGGAATGTGTAGGCAAGCCGTAGGCGTCAAGGCTCTGCCGGCGAAGGAGGAGATGCGGGTGATAGGAACCGGGGAACCCCAAAGAAGCATGCTGCATGCCACCATCCTTCAACACCACCACCACCAGCGGCAAACAAAACCAAAGCAAACGGAGGGGAATGTACAGGCGTTGTCGTGTTGTGTTTGAATGCGAGATGTGGATGTGTTCAAGTCGACCGGAAGAAAGAAGAGATTTTTACAATTAATAAAAAAATATATCGAACGTCCGCTTAATTTTGAACCAACAATTATGAAATAAAAAGCATCGAGTGGAAGGCTGTGTTATCTGAAATAAAAAGACCTTGTCCCCGGCTATAATGGCTCCTGATTGCCCAAATTTCCAACGGGCAAAAATTGGCCTGCAGATGACGAACGAGGAAGATGCAAAAAAAGCGTCGCTTAAATCGTGCTGAACGCCGTTAACGCCAGGCTCCTGCATAACAGTGCGCCTACTACATGGCTTTCCAGTAAACACGTCTTCCACATTTTTGCATTTATTTCCTGTGGCGAAGGGTTTTAAGCGTTGGCAGGACCCCGCTTCTTCGCAAGATCGTCCTACGGGGGCATTCAATTTAAGCCGATGAAAACGCGCGCGTTAATATGTTTTCCTTTGTCGGTCATCATTATTATTTTTCTCTCACTCTCTCAACGGCAGATGTTCACGCGGCACTTCATCCTCATGCTGTGGCACAAAATGTCCCTGTTCGGTTGCTAGGCGCGCTGATGGGACGGGTGGGGGCGGAGGGGACTCACGGTAGGGAAAGGTTTGGGAGAGGGGGGCGTTTGGGTGTAGGCAGTGGGGGTGTAGGGGCAGGGGGGTGCGGTGGTGGTGGGCAGGGAGAGGGGGGAGCAGCGGGGAGGGTGGGGGGGGGCGATGTGCTTGAGCTGGGGTGAACCCACAGGCACGGCTGATGCTGTCATCTCCCGGGAAACGGCCGCAGGTCGTGCTGTGCTTGCTCCCGAGTCGTGACTAACGTTGTTTAAAGGACATTGGCAGGGTCGCCGGGGGTCGCTTCAAAGGCTTGTAAAGGCGAGCGTGGGAGGGACACTGCCCGGTGTTTACATCCTGTTTACGTCCCTCCGTATTTTCGACGCTTTAGATGTCGATTTTAAGCCCTCCTTTTGAATTCCACCGTTCTTATCTTTCTTTTTAAGATCGCGTATGCTTGCATCCATGATGTTATCGGCATTGTTTACGGCCCAGGGTGGACAATTTAACCCCGCAGATTTGTATTATAATGTTCATTCTAATAGGGCTGCTTTTTTTTAAATCGTGCATCGTGTTTGTTACTGAAACGTATTCTTTCAATCCCACGAAACGCAACATCAGAGTACAATGAGCAAATGAATCTGTTCAAAGATGCTACAGCATGAAGTCATAAACATACACACACACATACACGCACAGCGATACTATTTGGTTAAGTCCCCCTTTGACAACCCAACATTTCAAAGGCGTCAACATGTTGTGTACGAGGCCAATGACCACCAACAATGTATGCGTCGTATATGGAAAGGACTTACACACAAAAGGCTTGCAGCAGCAGCTGCAAGAGCACCGGTCAATTCTATTTATTTTGCCACGAAACAATACGCAGCCTCCGCTTTGCATCCGCACGTCCACTGGCGGGATTTTTTTTCTGCTCACGAGCGAAACATTGACCGTGCCACGCCTTGGCCACGCGTGTGCGTGTGCCCGACGACAATCGCCACAGCCCGTTCGATTACCTGGCCAACCTGCCAGCACAGGCCGGAGCCCTCGGGCTGGCCCATCTCCTCCACCTCGGCCTCGTGTTTGTTGAGCTCCAGGATGCCGGGCGCTCGGGCCAGGCTGCTCACGTGCTGCCTGAAGGCCACTACGCCTGCCGGGGGAAAATGCAGGTCAACCAACCACGCCGAGCCACTCGGCAGCTATCTGGCGGGAAGTTACGATCGATCGACCGACTGGGCAGGAGCGGCGCAGGCAGCTCACACCATTGACATCGTCGTCGTCATCATCATCATCATCGTCGTCGTTATCATTGTCGTCGTCAATCTTGCAATGATCTTCATTATCCTCATCATCATCATCATTATTATCACCATCATCGTCGTTATGACTGTCGTAATTAACAGTCAATATCGTCACTCTTGTTGGCAATGTAATCGTCATTAGCGACATCATCATCATCATCACCACTGCTATCATCATCACCAGTGCTCTTACACGTGGGTCTTGCAAGCACGCAAATTCAATCGTGCGTAGATAAAACATCCCAGCGGGCGGGCTGCAAGGTGGCTAGAAGATAGCAGCCCAGAAATTAGTTCGCCGATCTATCGGCGCAGATTTTGCGAGCGTCCCTAAAAACGTCCCGGGGGGAGGGTGGGGGGGGGGGGAAGCCGGACGGACGGCGTCGCGTACCCTGGGTGAGCGACGTGTCGGACGCCCTTCGGCCCTCGCGGAAGCTGACGGGAGAGCGGTTGTGCTCGTCGCGTTCGCCCTGCCCGGCCTGCTGCTGCTGCTGCTGCTGGTGGACGAGCCCGGCTCCTCCTCCGGCGGGGAGCGGCGCCGGCGGCGGCGGCGGCGACGGTGTCCCGCCGCCGTCCGCGTCGCGCTGGGAGCAACCGCCCGGCGCTCCCACCGCGGCCGCGGGCAACGCCGCCAGCTGCTGCTGCTGCTGTTGGTGGTGCTGGTGGTGCCGTTGGTGCTGGTGCGGCAGGGGAGGAGGAGGCGGAGGAGGGGGAGCGCCGGGCGGGAGATCCTGGCTAGAGTGATGCAGCACGGTGCCCAGCTCGCAGTACTCCGAGCCAATGCTGCCGAACGGCGAGCCCGAGCCCAGCAAGAAGTACGTTTCTGCGTGGGGGAGAGGCAGAAACGAGCGTCACTTCATTTGTATGTAGCAGGAGGAGGGAGGATGTACAGTAAGTAGGATGCCTGCCCTGAAATATATATGTCTTTTTTCAATTGTTGTTTACACCACTTTATTGGAGCAGCGTGGTGAAGTACGGTCCAATGACGTCATATGACCGACATGAAGCGGGGGAACCCTTTATCTGCTAGTGGCTTGACAAAGTGATGTCAGCTGCTGCTGCTGCTGCTCATACTGCTGCTGCTTCATTGTTTTGCTATTTCTTGACGTTTTGTATTTGTGTTTTATTTTCTGCATTGCTTATAATTTTAATGGCGTTACACGCTTGTGTTGAACTTTTCACGTGCTGATGATGGTGATCATAAGCCACGTCGTTGAGCTAACATTTGTGATGGCCAGGTTGCTTCTGAAAGAGAGCTACGTAGTTCAGTGGGCCTTACATGATAAAATAAAAATATATAGTTTTAGAGTTGATATTACCAATTTGTGGGAGGTAAGCTGTGGCTGTCCTATGGAAGACTCAAACTCCGTAATAGGAATGTGGAATTTCGATATACTGGCTCAGGCTGGTAAACGGGATGGCTTCAATACTCATTTGGAGCAGGAAATCACGTTGATATATATTTTACTACAGTATTAACATTTTAAGAAAAGTATGGTAAAATACTTTTAAATAACGTCCATAATTACACACAATACCAATCAAAACCCTGAGAACACACAACACCACGTACATTTTTTCAATGTTATTTTCATTCATTTGGATTTAAGCTGCCGGACTGGATCTGAATGAATTAAAACCTTTAATTACGATCAGGTGGTAACACAGCGATCTAATTGACCAAACTGTACAGCTTCACCCAATTATGCAAGAGGTCTGAGTGTAAATACATCATGAAAGGACAAACACGTTAAAATCGTAATTTCCACTCCTCGTTGTAACGTGATTCCAAGGTCAATTAAAGGTCAATAAAGTAATTTGCACACGTTAATCTCCAGCTGGCCATTGCCACAAAGATTCTTTGAATTATAAAGGTTCCTCCAACTGTGATTATCTGGCACTCTTTCAGAAATAACACACACCAAGCGCTCAGATGCAAGAAACTCACGGGGGTTGCGTTGGCTCGGTGCCCCGATAAGGACACTCACCACACTGAGAGAGTCACCCGTGCCTCGGGTTTGAACCCGGCACTCAGAAATGCGAGCCCAATGCTGTCAAGCAAGCAGCCACCACTCCCGCCCCTCCCTCCTCCTACGAGGCACACACAGGCCTCCGGGTTTGAACCTAGGGAGCCCAGCGGTGGTGCTGGCACCACGCCCCGATGCCGGGCTGCCTCTGCGCGTTTGATCTTTACTTATTTGTATTGTTCCGAGCGAGCGGCTAGCAGCTCACGCCCGCCCGCCCGCCCGCCCGCCCGCCTACCCGTGCTCTCGTGCAGCGCGCCACCCCCGTCCCCTCCGCCGTCGGCGAACGCCGTCCTGGCCGCGTCGTGGCGCGAGGGAGGGGCGACTGCGTTGGCCAGCGGGGTGAGCCCCGCGAGCCCGCGGCCCGAGTCGCACGGCTCCTCCATCTCCACGCCCTCGTCGATGGAGGCCTCCATCACGGGGCTGATGGGCGACACCGAGCGGCCCTTGCGAGTCGGAGGCACGGGCTCCAGCATGCAGCCGCTCACCTGGGGGTGTGGGGAAAACGGGTTGAGTGCACACGACACACACACACAAAAAATATATAAAGGTCCCACGTGTAGCCTTAACAGACTTTTGGGGCAAGTGCTTTATTTGTTCTTCTTTCTTCCAGGGGGAAGTGCTGTTAGCGAGCACCTATTGAAGCCGGAATGGCTCACAAGGGGGTGGGTGGCCAGCACCAACGCCTGACCACCTTTGTCTCCAGAGTGGAGATGTTTACACACCGCACCAGGTACTCATTTGAGGCTGAGTCGACCTAGCGGAGGCCGAGGACCGGTTCAGATAATCGTCACCGGTGTTGGCCGTGAACAAGACTCAAACTCGCATCACACATGACAGACACACATGACGCATACGCTTGTGGTTACATACACGCATGCACACACACACACTTAAATGCAGACGCGCACACAAACACACACGACAATGCTGTGCCACGCAAAGATGCGTGTTCTTGTTTTTTTAATAAAACTACGAACACTGTTTATAACTAGATGAGAGCCAGATTGAGAGCAAAGTGTCTTGTGAGTTATCCTGCATCTCCAATTAGCACGGTTGGCTATGTACTGTGCGAAAGTAGTTCTACATACACACATATTACCTGGGCTAAAACGACAAAAACGCACAGGACAATATTTGAGCGTGCCAAACAAAACAACCCAAGTTTAACAAACCCAAGTGACTAAACGACGAAGCACCTGCAAATATTCAGCGCAAATCTGCACAACAATAAAAGTATCAACAAAAATAGCGTCACGTTTTTGAGAGCGACGTTTTGGAACGAAAACATTTTCGTGAAAATGTATTGCAAAATTTTTCAAAGCGATTTCTTTTCACTTTATTGGAATATATTATTGGTTCTTTCGGTAAAGTCACGTAGAAGGGAAATAATAAATAAAACAATAAAATTCTCACGACGTTTCGATTGCAACACAAGCAATCATCATCAGGTGTGCTTGTGTTGCAATCGAAACGTCGTGAGAATTTTATTGCTTCATTTTTCTTATTTTATTATTTCCCTTCTACGTGACTTTACCGAAAGAACCAAGAATATGAATCCCTGCAGTCACGAAAGCTTTAAATCGAAATTTATTGGAATAGTAATTTTACACATTGTACCACAGGGAGGTTTGTCCCTGCACCACCATCCGCGGGGGGCGGCCCTTACTCGAACTTTGAATTCCGGATTCCGGATTCCTAAGCCGGTGGCAATTTTAGCTGGATCGATCCTGCCAAAAGCAGCTGGGCGTGGCTCCCATTCTGACGCTCACCGGGTCCCCATCGGTAAAGTGGGGCAACCGTGCGTCTTGTTCAAGAGCAACTGATCCCAGGTGAACAGGCTCATATCCGTTGGTACACACAACCATTCCCAGGTGAACGGTTTCTTCCGTTGTTATACAACACACCAGCGTTGTTTACGAAACAGCTCACGCGAAAACCAGCCGACTACTGGGGTACAATCACCATGATCTCAATGCAAGTGCTGCCCAATTATCTATATTAGTTATATATATCAGTCCCAGGATTCCCCCGATGATGATGATAATAATAAACACAAGTCAAACCTCCCCCCGCCGCCCTCCATCCATGCCTCATTTGCCCCTGAGGTTTACTAAAATACCAGAGGCCAGACGTCAATTACAATTCATTCATTAAATGTTTAAAAGCCACGAAAATAAACGGGCCTCCTTTGTAGCAGGCCTTCCCGTAACCAAAGATACACTCTCTGACGCGCCACGGACACGAGGGAGAGGGCCTGCCTCCCCCTCCTCCACCCTCCGGAGCCTCAAGCGGCCTCCAGACGCTGCCGCCGCTGACGCCGCGTTGGGTGCAAGCGAGATATATATTACTGGGGGGGGGGGGAAATCCGGCCACCGGGTGGCACGGGGCGGCGGTTAAGAGCCCGTCGGGCTCGCCATCAGAAGGTGCGCGAGTTCAATTCGCGGTCAGGGGTGGCTCAGCCCTGCACCCCCTCTGGGATCTTCATAAACGAGGAACAACAACTTCTAGGGGAAGTCAACAGCAGCTGGCCCACGGATAAACTCACCCCGCCCCCCCCTATAATAGTAACGAGGAATTTGCAGTACTGGGCTAAGGGCTGCAAGCTGGAGATGATCTACTTTGCTTTGAATGCTGCACATGTTGGCGCCAGGGAAGGTTTGCGTTGGTTGCTTGTAGGCGTGCGAATGAAGTCTAACCTAAAACGAAACAATTGGTTTTTTTTTACCAGGTAAGGCCCACCGAGCTAAACGGCTCTTTTGCAGAAGCGACCTGGCCACAAATTACAGCTCGACAAAGTGGCTTGTCGCGTGGAAATTTAAAGCAGGAAAAATACACTGAACGCATGCTTCCAAATGTGGAGGTAAAAATCGGAGGACCTGGAGAAAAATCCACACGACCGCGGGGAGAACACGCAAACTCCAAATGTACAGACGTCAGGGTCGGGATCGAACCCACGACCTCCTGTATACCAGGCGAGGCAGTTAACTTCTCCTAGCCACCGCGGCACCCCTCAAGTCAACGGAAGCAAAGCGATATGCGGGATTCACCACACTGGGTGCGGCGGTGACCCAGAGCTTATTGTGTGGAAACGTTCCAAAGCGCCCAACCGTTTTCAGCAAAATGTGCACTTTTGGGACGATCAATGCAAAACAGCTCACACATCCCCGCACGAAGAACGGCGATTGCAATGTTTCGCATTTCCGTTATTTGTCTACAGCGACTCAAAAGCATCAATGTAAGATACAGCCAACAAAACAGTGTCGCAAATTGCGAAGGAATAAATAACACAACGCCCGAGTCACGTGAACTGCATTCGCATGCCACTTCAACAGCAGCTGATTTCTAAACGCCGTTACCAAAGCGAAACCGGCACACGCCCCCCCCCCCCCCCGCCCAAGCTTGTCTCATGCCAAGTAGACGTTAAATACTCAACAACATCATTCACAAAAGAGGGCCAACGTATAACCGATGTCAAGGTCAATATTGACGAACCACCTTAAGACCGCATCGTGACCTTCAACCCACTTGTGGAAAGCGGTGGGGTTTGTGTGCGTTGATAAGGCCCTGCCCAGAGACAAAAAGCGATGTTGGCTGCGCGAGGTCAGGTGACGAGGCCGCCCCCTTTTCCCTCACTGCAGACTGCTGCTGTGGCTGCCTGCCAGTGATCCCTACACCACGAGTGTGGGGGGGAAAAATACGTCCTTTCATATCAGAAGGCCCTTGGCGAGTCACATCCCGGTAAACGTGGAACGTTGGTCCACCGGTTCCAACCAAGTGCCAACGTTGGAACGTTAAACTGGGATGACGCCTACCTAAACTAAATTGAACAATTTTTTATTTTACCAGGTAAGGCCCACTGAGCTAAAAGCTCTTTTTCAAAAGTGACCCGGCCACAAATGACAGCCCGACAAAGGGGCTTATCACGTGGAAATTTACAGCAGCCAAATACTCTAAACGCAAGTTGATTATAAATGTGCAGGGAAAATAGGTAGATTCCGTGAAAAATCCATGAGACTGCGGGGAGAGAGACACGCAAACTCCAAACATACAGCAGACGTCAGGGTCGGGATCAAACCGACCACCTCCTTCGGCACCGGCTATCGTAGAGTGCGGTCGTGTCGCTACAGTTCTCTGCGGTGAGTGCAATGTCTTTAAAAACAACGGCGCTAGGCCTCTCTAAATAAAATCAACGCTGAACCGCTTTGGCACAATTCCGAGATGCAGCGATGAACAGGGACCCACCCTGCAACTTGCAGACGTTTCACAACGGGAAAGGGTTAAACACCTGGGAGGCACAGGCCAGTGTGAAACGTGCGATAGGAATGCAGTGACTTGATTGCACCAGAGTAGGGGGGAGGCGGTGCGTGGCCATGGCAGGGTCGAGTATCTGTGGGACATTGGCGTGTTGTGGAACATGACGGCAATCGGCGCGCGGACACACGCTGAGCGAACCGACCGTCTCAAATCGTTCGTCTCCTGGCTCGGGTCGACGAGTGCGGCCATTAGACGGAGTCCACGCCGCACGACGGAATTAACCCGCCGTTCGGCCACCTGGCTGTATTTAAAATCATCACCGTCTCACTCGTAATTGTGTTTACTTTTGTTGTTATTGTCGTCGCCTCCACCATCGTCGTCGCCATTTCTGTTTATTGTGCGTTTAATTTCCGCTCAATTATTTGCCCTCCGTAGCCTCGAGTTGTGACACGCTGTGGCTACACATTGCAATTATGGCAAATGGTATTTTAAGAAATAACTCTTAACTTTTGCTGTCGATACCGTATTATTATTATGTTGTCTGAAAGAAAGGGTTTCAAAGGGATGGTTTCTGACACAACAGCCAATCTTCTGGTCTATTAAAATCTCTACGTGCTTCTTTCCTTTCCGCTCATAATTGTAATTGCTCCAAAAATAAACCACGTCCTGCGAGGGGAAGCTATGGGCCGAGTTGTTCTTCTATTGGATGTGAGCTTTGTGGGAAAAAAAAAACTTTCGCGCACTTTGATGGATGCGGAACAAAAGCTGAAAAGGTGCACGCTTTAAAATACATTGAGAGAAAGAGGAATAAGATCGCGCGGAAACAGCCAACTTGCGAAAATCCGAGACGTTACATTCACCGTTGGGAAAACTAAGCGGGCTTGGGGCAGGAACACGTCGCCAGAAGGGACAAGGGCTGGTGCGGGGGACTCACGGCGCCAATGGGAATTTGAGCAGATTAGGGTCAGGGTTAAAACTAAACTACTATTCAAACTAAACTACTGTTAAAACAAAACAATGTTTTATTTCATCAGATAAGGCCCACTGAGCTATGCAGCTCTTTTCAGAAGCGAGCTGGCCACAAATGATAGCCCAACGAAGTGGCTTATCACGTGGAAATGTATAGCAGCCAAATACTCCAAATGCATTGTTTCTAAATGCGGTGGGAAAAACCGGACGACCCGGAGAAAAATCCACTAGACCACGGGGAGAACATGCAAACTCCAAATACACAAGTGTCAGGGTTGGTTATCCAACCCACGAACCTCCTGTAGAGGAGGTTGAGGTAATAAAGTATTAAAGCTTTCGTGACTGCATAAAATTACTCATTGGTTTTTTCGGTAAAGTCACGTATGTAGAAACACAATAAAATTATATTAAAACAAAAAACAATCACGACGTTTCGATCACAACGCAAGCTTGCGTTGTGATCGAAACGTGACTTTACCGAAAAAACCAATGAGTGAGGTTGAGGTAGTTAACATCTCGCCACTGCGTCGCATAAGGTTTCAACGAATTGTTGAGATTCACCGTCGCGATCTTTCCTTTTCTTAACCATACACAGAAGGTATTGGCCACTAGGGGCTGGAGTCGGCCGCATGAAGCCATTACAATAAAATGTTATATACCAAAAATGTCCATTCCTACACTTGCAATTTGACGCGTGTAACATTCACCTCAATAATCAACCTGTATTCACCGATGAATTGACTCATCTTCCCACCCATATTATACACGGCTCGATAACACGTCTATCCATGTACGTGGTGTGTGTGTGTGTTTGTACGCGGTGCTAGCCACCAACCCCCTCCCTCGTGTGCCATGCCGGCCTTAATAGCGGCTCGCTAACAGCACTTACCCCAATGGTTTGTTGAAGGCTATATGGGGGGGGATCTTTGTCTTGTGGTAGACAGCGCCTTCTACACAACCCCACCTAAGACGTCCCCCCTTTGGCCTGCTTTCTCTATCCTCAAAGACACTGGTCCAGCCAGCCGCGTCCAGAATTACGGACTCGGCGGGATAGGGTCGATAAATGACGGTGGGAAGAATGAGTCACCTTGGGGGTCGGCACAAAGAGTTCCTCTTCCAACAGGCCGAGCTCCATGGGGTGTCCTCCGCCGGACTGGCCAAACGAGCCGCGGTCCGAAGCCAGCGCCGTGAAGCCGGCGCACTGCTGCTGCAGGTGGTGGTGCCTGATGCTCTGAGGCAGGAGACCCATGGGGTACATCGCTGGGTTGGCCTGAAACGACGCGTGGGGGGGGAGGAGAGAGAGGGGGAACGGCACTTGCTTTACTTAACGCGGCTCGTTAGCGTTTGCGGGGGGGGGGGGGGGGGGGGGGGGGGGGGGGGCGGAATTACGGCCGATGCTCGCCGTGGACGGGTGTCGAGCTCAGGTCGCCAGGGTTCGCGGCCGCCGCTCCACGCGCGCGTGCACACACTTAGCAACGCGCTCGCTCGCACACAATCACTTAACGCGCCACTACGCGCGGTTTTTTTTTCCTCTCTTCCTTCCACGTCACGTGGAAGTCATTACCCACGGAATGTAAATGTAATGTATATGTACATGTAAAGAAACGTGGTAGTATTTACACGCGGGCGTGCCCCCGAGACAGAAAGCGTACGTGTATATGGGCCGTGATCTGTGTTCGATTTGAGGCGGCGCTTCGTTGTCACGCGTGCCCAAACGTGCGTTTTAGGAGTTGTGCGGCCTCTCGTTTGAGCACTGCGCACGCAATTAGGGCCGCTATTTTTATTAGCATCACCTCCAAAGTATGGGACATCGTTAGGGGGAAGGGCTCAACAATAAACATCCCCATGGAGATGGATTGCACAGCAGATAATTGCTAACAGCTGTGCCTACCACACAAAGACCACAAAAAACCCGCGCGAGTAGGTACACGCAATCGGCGATTACAGAGCAATCTACCCAACAAGCGACTTAGTAGCGCGCGAGAAGGGAATGCAACGCTGCCGTGCCGTCACGCGTGGCATGGTTCAAGCCTGGACCTCGCGTCGACTGCCCGGAGCACGCGTCCCATCGTCAAGTCCGGTCCACGTGGCCTCATCCACGCAGAAGGTGCGCCGGGTTGGGGCGCGTTCCTCACAGCCGAGACTTCCCAAAGACGAGCGGGCGAGGACTTCTTTGTACGGCCCCCGAGATATTTCACAGTCAAAACTAAAAACCAAACTAAACTATTTTTTTTATTTTACCAGGTAAGGCCTACGGAGCTACATAGCTAATTTCAGAAGTGACCTGACGTTCACAAATACTAGCTCAACGAAGTGGCTTATCAAGCGTAAATTTATAGCAGCCAAATACTCTAAAGGTACGTTGTTTCTAAACGTTGAGGGAAAAATCTGAGGACCATACAGTTGTCAGAGTCAGGACCAAACCCACGACCTCCCGAATACCAGGCGAGGTAATTAACATCTCACCGCCGCAGCATGGAAGACTAGGCATTATGAGCAAGCAATTGCAGGGCTGAATCTTTTACCCTGTCCTCTACTATAAACGCACCTGCACAGGCATGCTTTAGTCATCACACGGGGCTCAAATGGTCACTGCACAGAAGCCCACAGCGTGAGCGTTTGGAAGCTAGGGGCTGGGCGTAGCGGGGCAGCGCCACCCTGCCGCAGGTGAACACACGGGCTGTCCGCTTCGAGTTGGTGAAGGCAGCTGCTCGTGCGTGCGCGCGCGCACACGTGTGTCCGCGAGCGTGTACCTTGGCGAGGGCCTGCTCGGCGACGGTGCTGGGCCGCCTGTTGCGCGCGTCCACGCGGTGGTCCACGGGAAAGCTGGAGCGGTGAGCTCTCAGGCGGTCGACGAGCAGGTGGTAGATGGCGAAGCAGTGGTTGTAGCTTCTGTTCTGCAGCGACTGCTCGCGCGCGCAACGCACGCGGCGCGGGGGGAAACGGCAATTGGTGAGCGGGGTCGGGGCGTCCGTCGCTCGCTCGGACGGTCGTTCTGTCGGCCGTTTGGCGGAAGTCGTCAAAATGAGGAAAAAAATCAGCAGAAACAACTTTGCAATGGGCAAACTGTTAAGCGGGGGAGGAGAGGGGGGGGGGGGGGGGCAAAAAAACGCAGCAACAAAAGCCATTGGCCGACGGATAACGTCACTCGCCGAACGTAGCGCGACTTCGCGACGACGGGCTACCTCCAGAGTCTTCTGCTGGTCGATGCCCAGGCTCTGCATGAGCCTCAGCACGTGCTCGTTGTACTGGGGCAGGCCCGGGCTGTACAGCGGCGATGGCGACGCGGACTCCGACGCGGCCGCTGGCTGGACGGACACGGCCGGCGGCGGCGGCGGCGGCGGCGGCGGAGGCGGCGAGGGCGGCGACGGGAGGGCGGCGAGGGCGGCCGCGGCGGCGGCGGCGGCTGCGGCGGCTGTGGCGGCGGACGGCTCGGCGCGGCTCTGCTGCTCCCCGAGCGTGGCCATGGGCGGCTGCTCGGGCAGCACGAGGGCACGGGGCGGGCCACCCTCGCCCTGCAGCCAGCGGTGCTGCCGGATCTGCGCGATCGTCAGCCGCTTGGACGGATCGAGCACGAGCATGCGGCGGATGAGGTGCTCGCAGTCTGCAGCGGCGCGCGACAGAGAGAGAAAGAGCGATGAGCGAATTGAGAGACCGATTGAAGATGGCGTAAATCGGTTGACGGATACAAAAAAACAAACGGACGGATGAACAAATTGGTCAAAAGTAGATTGCAAAGTGTTCGAACGAAGCGTGTCGATGAAGCCAACTAGCATGCTTTTCTGTACGTGTTTGTGTATATGTGTGTATATTATCAAGTTTTCCCGTACTATAATTTTAAATAATAAAACATAGTTTCATAAAAAAAAGGAATCAAACACGGATAAACGGATGAGGAAATAAATCTCTCGGACAAACGAGCGAGCAAAATATACACACAAACATACAAGTAGCCAAACGATCCCAAGTAATTAATGAGACCAACGAACACTGGTGCTGTTGTCAGATCCACAAAGCACAACGTTACCACGTCAGAATTTAAACACGTTCAGGAAGGGGCTTGATTAGCTCCACTACGTTTACGTAAGAATTCCTGTATGTACGTAATACTTTGTTGTTATTGTTATTTAAAATAAAGCTAACGTTACCCGCCTACGCAGGCCCCCAAGCAGCGATAATAATTGCGATGACATTTATTAATTTTGATTTAAAACTTTCGTGACTGCAGGTTTTCACACCCGATGATGATTGCTTGTGCTGCAGTCGAAACGTCGTGAGAATGTTATTGTTTTATATTTTTATTATTTTATTGTTTCCCTTCTACGTGACTTTACCGAAAGAACCAAGAATATGACATTTATGAAGTGGAACCCGCACAATAACAGAAACACACACAAGCATAAAAACAAACGATTAGCCTTCCTTTAAAATGACTCAGCTTTACAAACTGAGGTCAGGAGGGGGAGAGGGGGAAAAGGTATTAATTTATACAATTGTTTCCAAGCGCCGCCACCGTTGTCGTCAAGTAGGTGTTAATGCGTCATCACCCTCGTTCGTTTTCGCGTCTTTCAATTTAATTAATTTAATTTCATCCAAAGAGATGAATATGATTATCGCGCGCGACACGTTTTGCCTGGATTCACGCGGCCTCTTGCCGCCCCCCCCCCGACCACCCCGATCCCTCCCGCACCACCCCCCCAACCTCCCCCCGTGCCTGTCGGGGGCTAGCGCTGTGAGGAGCCCCTCTAGGTTCTCCACGCGAGCGACGGAGCTCCGTGGCGGCGCCACGCTCGGCCGAAAACAACAAAAATTGAGAACCTCGCGTCAACGCAGACGATCGCCGTTTGCTCGGTGTCGCGCGCGTGCACGTCGCGTCTCCTTCTGCTCGTGCACACGGCTGCGTTTGAATGCTGTCATATATTTAGAAACGTGCGTTCAGATTGTTTCAGATCGTTTTGCTGCGATGCATTTCTACTTGATGGGCCACTTCGCTGCGGTATCGTTTGTGGCCATGTGGCTTCTGAAAAAGAAGCTAACAGCTCGGTGGGCCTTACCTGGCGAGATGAAAATAGCTTAGTTTTATTTGTCTATATTTTTCAAGTGATTTGTTTACCTTTCCTATACTCAGCACTCCTATCGTGTTTTTGTATTTTTTGATGTTGTACCGTTCTGACCCCGTGCCCCTACTGGATATCTGTGGAAAAGAGCTTTATAGCTCATCAGATTCCTCCACTATAAATACGTATTCTGATTCCGATACAGTAATTCTAAATCTGGCTTATGTAACCATGATATTCCCTCGATTCCTCCATCAAAATATCCGAGGGAGCGAGCATCGATGACGCACTGCCGTTGTTTCATTTCAGCCCTCTAGCTCCGAGACGGTACAAACAAACGGCAAAGCGAATACGAACAAAGTCAACGCTTTTTAAGCGAAGAAAGTACAAGCGCAGAGGAGAAACGAGCTCTGCAAAGAGGCGACTCGATCGCTCAACGAGCGGCTGCGACGGCGTGAGCGGGGGATGCGTCACTCTTGGCTCAAACAAAAAGAAACAGAAATGATTTCACGCAAAACGCCGACTGCTGCCCGCATTAACGTCGTGCACATTCGCGGAGTGACAAGAAAAGCTGGATTCTGCAAGTCCAAAGGGGGGGCGCGAGATTTACAACGAACGAAGCGGCGTCACCCCCGCCGCGGCACGACTTTGTCGCGGCCTTTCGCGTTAAATCAAAACGGCGGACCGGAGGACCAGCCGTGCCCCGAGGGGCGGTGCCGCCGACGGGGACAGACGTTCCTGCGCAGCAGAATTCAACAGCACGCGCCAAACGTCTCCATTTCGGCGGCACACAATGGTCACTCGATCAAGATTGAGGTTGTTGTTTTTTGTTTTACTTACTACTCCGTAAAAATTGTGCTCTTTTTAAGTAGGAGGAAAATTTTACAGCTCAAAGCAGATTTGTTTTTCGGAGTGTAAAACCAGCTCGTCGGTAGTTTCCCCGGGCAAAACGCGCTGCCGTCTCCGGTGGGATGAAGCGCAGATTCAACGTTCGGGATTTGCCCGGCCCGTCAGTTTCGTCCGAGACCACTGTGCGTCTCTGCGTCCACGGGCCCCCACCGCCCTCCTCCGCCCCCCACCGAGCGATGCGCGGTGTCTCTCGGCGACGTTTAAAACCCTCTCCGTGTAATCACCGAAGCAGAAACGCATTGACGGCGACTTTTGGGACCTCATCGGACGGTCTCCACGGGGGCGTTCAAATCCTGAAGAAGACTGATGCCCTTACGCGTATTTACACAACGGCGTGTATGTGAAACGTGCGGGGGGGGGGGGGCGGAACGAAAGACGACCTCCCCCATCCCGTCCCAACCTCGCCCCCCCCTCCCATTCAGCCGTACGAACAGCCTGGGAAAAGAGCTGATCTGAGCAGGTGTTAGTCGTGAGCGGGATCGGCGCTGTGGACACAGCGGCAGCTGGACGCAGTGCTGGCCCGCACCAACTCTCGCTCACAAAACGTGCCCCGTCAATCTATACCCAGTCTCCCTTTTATATATATATATGTGTGTGTGTGTGTGAAAGCGTGTTGTTCGGGGGAAAATGTAAGGAACCGAGAAAAGAGGAAGACCTAGCAGCGAGTGGCTCGCTGACGACTTAAGAGATTGGTGCCAGAAAGATGTGGCCACTTCTTGAGCAAATTGGCACTACAAGACGGTGAGGAAAGTGGAAACAAATGGCGAAATGTACAGGCCTATCTGCCCATGGATCGTGATGATGATGATATGAAAAAATACTTTTTCGTCTCATTGTGCTCTCAATCATCTATCATCTACAGCCCGTTGTCAATGCACTGCTGGATGGGCACCGTGGTGGCGAGATGTTAACCAACTCGCCGGGTATACAGGAGGTCGTGGATTCGATCCCGACCCTGACACCTGCTGTATATTTTGAGCATTCATGTTCTCCCTGTGTCGCGCGGATTTTTCTCTGGGTCCTCTGGTTTTTCCCTCCACATTTGGAATCAACATCACACGTTTAGAGTATTTGGTTGCCATAGGTTTCCACTTGATAGGCCACTTCGTTGAGCTATCATTCGTGGTCAGGTCACTGCTGAAAAAGAGCTCTATATAACTCAATGGGCCTTACTTGGTAAAATAAAAAAATGTTTTAGTTTACTTGGACTCGAATACGTTCGGAAATCCACGTGCTCCTATTTCCATCTCTCGGTGTAATGTTAAGCGTGCACCTTCTCCATGTTTCATTATGCAATGGGCCGGTTTTTCAAAAAAAGGTCATCGCTATATTTGCGAGGCCGTAGACAATTCTCCGTGTGTCTGGTGGCGATGACGCTGGGTGGCAAGGCATCGTGTTACTCGAATGACGATGGAGGGGGGGGATTTCACCTTCAGACATGAAGTAGGGAATGCGAAATCGCCCCTCCAGCACCCTCTGCTTGAGGATGGGCAGCGTCGGACCGTCAAACGGGAGGGCTCCACACACCAGCACGTACAGCACGACTCCGAGGGACTGCGGGACACACGCACGCAACAAAGATCCCCCGTGTAGCCTTAACAGACTGTAGGGGCAAGTGCTGTTAGCGAGCACACGCACACACACACCCCCACCGGCACATAACGCACGCACGCACACACACCACCACCGGCACGCACGCAATCATTTACTGTGCATCATACACACAGAGTGCAAACTCGGGATGGGTTTTGATTTAAAATAATATTTTGATTTTTTAATGTCTAACAATAGCGATGTCACCCGATGCCCCATGGCATCATTTTCGGTGGGAAAAGCATGGAAGTGGCATCATGCAAGTGACATCATGCTTTTGAATCAATACAAAAGAAAACTGTCAGAGATTATAACGTACAAAATAAAGATGATCTATTTTTTGAAACAATCCGAAAAATCGGGAACACATTCCGAACATAATTGGGATCTTCCTTATTACAATATTTTGGCCTAGCGATTTGAAGCTGCGGTATCTCCGATGAGAACGTTTGGCTCCGATTAGCACGATTGGCCACGTACAGTGTGAAAGAAGTTCAACATACATACATACGTACATCTCTGCAAGCTTGTTGTGCATATGCAGAACTTCTTTCCCACCAGCGATCTGCACCGGACGTGCGTGCGTAGCTGTTTTTTTTCGCAAGCCATGTTCATACGTGGCCCTCAAAAGCGGCGGCGACGGGGCCGCGCAGTTGCTTGCGGGAGCGTTTGACCCCGGCAACCGCTACGAGCCCCCCGCCGCTGCCACCACCACTCACCCAGACGTCCAGCTGCGGCCCCTCGTACTCCAGCCCCTCGAAAACCTCGGGGGCGGCGTACGGCGGGCTGCCGCACCACGTCGTCAGCGCCTCGCCCCGCCGGAAGAAATTCCCAAATCCAAAGTCTGCGCCGCGGGAGGTCACCGTGGGGTCATGGGAAGGGGGTGGGGAGGAGAAATACGTAGCAGTAGTTGGCAACAATTCGGAGCGCGGGCATTATGTGTTGAGTGTTCGTAACACTAGTTGATGTGCAATGTGTACAGTCCTTTGTAAATCCAAAGCTGGATGGAGGGGGGGGGGCCTCCCAACTTTGCACGGGTTGCGGAGGGTATTTGACCGTACTTCACCGTGCTCGTCAACGGGGGTTGGTGTCAGCGGCTGAAGCACAGACGCAGGCGAGCAGCAGTAAAGTAACATCAAGTGATATTTCTGCAAAGCCCAATGTTGCCCACAAAGTGACTCGGTTACTTATAATAATATCCTGTTACGCACGTAATCCCTCACCGAAGCACTATCCAGACTCAAACCCTGCCTAGCTTCCGAGATCTGATGAGATCTGGCGCACTCTGGGTGGTGTGCATGAATAAATTCGCACTTAGTTAGCCAGAAAAGCCTCACCGAGTTCCGAGACAATTTTCTATTCAGGCGGTTCCAACTTGGGATGTTTGGCAAATGCATTTTTGCGTGTAACAGGAAACTGGAGTGTTTGGGGAAAACCCACTCGTAAAAAAAAACATATGAACTGAACACAAAATAGGTCAACAACCTACATGCTGCACTTCCACTTCGCAGGAACTTAGTGCTCTGTGGATGGGTGCATCACACATCCGCATGATCCGACAGCCTCTCCACCACGTCACTCAAGTACTCTAAACGCATGTTTAGAAACGTGCGTTTAGAGCAATTAGCTGCTATAAATGTCCACACGATAAGCCACTTCGTTGGGCTATCATTGGTGGTCATGTCACTTCTAAAAAAGAGCTTTATAGCTCAGTGGGCTTTACTTGGTAAAGAAAAATTGTTGATAGTTCCTGTTTAATAGTTTAACCATGGGAGTGTCGAACAATATTTTAATTCCTGTGAATTAATTCAATATTGGGCAAGCTAAACGATAGAACGATCTAGAGGGAAGCAGAAGAGGCAGACAGGAGAAAATGAGATGGAGGAACGAGATTGGAAGATTTGGGATTTGGAAAGCTAACAGCCAAGACTGAAATAGAAAATAATTGATATCAACGCAAACATTACAAATTAATTGGTTTTCAAATGGGTTACCAAAACGGCGTAATAAAACGTCCACTCAAACAAGTGCACGAATCTCAAGACGTCCACCACACTTGGGAGGCAGAAACATCGCCAAACGAGGATTGTTCAACATGCGTTTGTTTAACATTAAAAAAAAAACTAACCACGTCTCATTACGCTAGCTAAATTTAAAAAGGTTAAAAACAGCGACGTGTGAAGAAGATTAAAAAAAAACCCCCAACAAATTCAAATTTTATTTGCCAGGGAACAATGGAAAAACTAACGATGTGTCGTCGTCCTGCAGTTCACTGACGTGTGTAGGGGTGGAGAGGTGGGGGGGCGCATTATTGCTGAAGTGGCAATAATGGCAATCCCACTGGCGTCTATGGAAACATGGCACCAGTAGGGACCGTTAATCAAATGGATGAACAGAATTTTTGTATTTGTGCCGGATAGATTGGAATCGGCTCTTTCCACGCACAGTCCGGGCCGGGCTTGCGCAGACTCGAAACCCGTGTGTTTGCAAGTCCTTCTCCGATTATCATATTCTAAAACAATAACAATAAACAAAACCCACCACCACAACAACAACAAAAAACACAAAATATGGACAAAATAAGGTCATTAAATGGCTCCACATTACAACCAAAAATAATGTGGGTCCTTGACCGACTGCCACGGGGTAACAACGGAAAAGGAGATGATGTCACAGATCCCAGTCACTTCCTGTTCGCTGTCACGACATTTAACGTCCATGTGTGCACGTGTGTGTGGTGGCACAGTGGGGAGCGGTGGTGCAGTGGTTAGAGAGCGCTGCGTTACGAACCCGGCCGCACGGGTTCACTTCCCGCTTCACGGCCAACACCAGTGACGATTATCTGAACCGGTCCTGGGCCTCCCTTAGGTCGACTGAACCTCAAATGAGTACCTGGTGCGGTGTGTAAACATCGCCAAGGCGGCCGGGCGTGGTGCTGGCCACCCACCCCCTCGTGTGCCGTGCCGGCCTTCATAGGCGCGACTCGCAAACAGCACTTGCCCCAAAATTCTACTAAGGCTATATGAGGGTTTTTGTCCTTGTTTGTATATTTATTTTCCTACCCCCCCCCCAAAAAAAGCACTGCCTGTTCCCAGGCTAATTCCACAACAATGGGTTTTTTTTTTGCAAGCAACATTTTCCGCTACCTTCATTAATGTGATAAGAGCCGGGGAGAGGGAAAAGACTCAACATTATAAAGTTTAAGAGGAAGTCCCCCGGAGTAAGGAACCATGATGAATGCTGTACATTTTCCCACAACTGACGCTCTTGCCAAAACGCTCATTTCAAACTCGACCTTCAGAGACGACGGTGCCGCGATAGCAAAATGCGACGTTTGCCACTGGGCAAGCTTTCCCATGTTCGTGGAATTCACTCCGGCTGTTGTAGGATATTTTTCGTAGGATATTTTTCGTAGGATTTATTTTGTAGGATATTTTTGTGCAAACGTCCGTGGAGCGTGACACCGAGAGTCTGAATTTGAGGGTGAAAGGTATGATTTAATGCACGCGATTAAGCATCGCCCTTAAGGCTGCCAATGAACTATGTACAACTGCGTGAAAAAAAGCATTAATATAAAAACTATGTCCAAAGTAAACCTGTTGGCAACATCTGTTGCACTGGAGGGTTTCTAGCTACTAACACAAAAAAGGGCTTTTTATGTTCAGTTTGTTGTCCTTCCCCCGCACCTCCGATTGGCACGGTTGGCTATGGACGGTGCGAAAGAAAGTTCAACATACGTAGATATACATACGTAGATGCATACGTATAAATAGATGCATACGTATAAATGCACGCACGCTTTTGTTTACGTCTGCCAGTCGTGCCGTCGTTCTGCCGCTCCACGCCATGGCCTCTTGACTCCGCGCAGACATTTATCTCAGACGTACGAGCACACGAGAGAGGACACGACCGTTTTTGGCGCGCGGGGAGCTGATGACGGTGGCGGCAACGATGTGTCCCCAAGCGGTGTTGCGCAAAGCGGCTTTTGGCTCGCGACGAGGGGGCCTTCGAGCGAGATTTTTCGTGTCGCCATTTGGCCGATGGACGTTTCAAAATCCCACCGGTTACCGCCACGTACCGCTCACGTTCAACATACCGCAAGTTGCTACGAGTAGGAAGCGAAGGTGCGTTATTCATCAAATCTCTCACCAAATTTTATTATAAAGAACAAAATATAGCAATGTGATATATACCAAGCTAAAGTGCCGATGAGCGCGTCCAATGTGCTCTTGCAAATGAGGCTTTATTCTGGAGAAAAGTTGATAGCCCGCACAGTTGAAGACAAGTCGTGCGAGCTTCATTGGAACACTTCACAAGGCACTTCTGAGAGTTTGTACAGTCTCCCCACAGATAATTTACTTTTTTTCATCCACTTAATCTGCCTACTCTCAACCAAAGCCCACGTTTGGACGATGAGATTTCACGAGTTATCTAGATCCTCCTGTATGCCTCTCACAAATAGGTTTTGGGGAATAAAACATTTAATTATTTGACTAACACTAAACTAAACTTTTTATTTTACCACGTAAGGTCCACGAAGTTATATTCTATAACTCTTTTTCGAAAGTGACATTACCACAAATTATAGCTCAACGAAGTGGCTTATCAAGTGAAAATGTGCAGTGAGGAAAAAAAAGTATTTGATCCCCTGCTGATTTTGTACGTTTGCCCACTGACAAAGAAATGATCAGTCTATAATTTTAATGGTAGGTTTATTTGAACAGTGAGAGACAGAATAATAACAAGAAAATCCAAACTCTCCACCATGGCCAAGACCAAAGAGCTCTCCAAGGATGTCAGGGACAAGATTGTAGACCTACACAAGGCTGGAATGGGCTACAAGACCATTGCCAAGCAGCTTGGTGAGAAGGTGACAACAGTTGGTGCGATTATTCGCAAATGGAAGAAACACAAAGAACTGTCAATCTCCCTCGGCCTGGGGCTCCATGCAAGATTCCACCTCGTGGAGTTGCAATGATCATGAGAACGGTGAGGAATCAGCCCAGAACTACACGGGAGGATCTTGTCAATGATCTCAAGGCAGCTGGGACCATAGTCACCAAGAAAACAATTGGTAACACTACGCCGTGAAGGACTGAAATCCTGCAGCGCCCAAAACACATGGCGAAGGCAACAAAGGAGTGGCTCAAGAAGAAGCACATTAAGGTCCTGGAGTGGCCTAGCCAGTCTCCAGACCTTAATCCCATAGAAAATCTGTGGAGGGAGCTGAAGGTTCGAGTTGCCAAACGTCAGCCTCGAAACCTTAATGACTTGGAGAGGATCTGCAAGAGGAGTGGGACAAAATCCCTCCTAAGATGTGTGCAAATCTGGTGGCCAACTACAAGAAACGTCTGACCTCTGTGATTGCCAACAAGGGTTTTGCCACCAAGTACTAAGTCATGTTTTGCAGAGGGGTCAAATACTTATTTCCCTCATTAAAATGCAAATCAATTTATAACATTTTTGACATGCGTTTTTCTGGATTTTTTTTGTTATTCTGTCTCTTACTGTTCAAGTAAACCTACCATTACAATTATAGACTGATCATTTCTTTGTCAGTGGGCAAACGTACAAGATCAGCAGGGGATCAAATACTTTTTTCCCCTCACTGTATCGCAGCCAAAAACGCGTGATGTTCACCCTAAAATGTGGAGGGTAAGACCGGAGGACCTGGATAAAAATCCACGTGACCACGGGGAGAGAGACATGCAGACTCCAAATATACGGCATACGTCAGGGTGGGGATCGCAACCCAATGAAACACCAGCATGCCAGGCGAGGTGGTTAGCAGCTCGCCACCGCCGGCGCCCTGGGCACCAGCTGACCGTCACTCTACCGTCAGCT